CCTTAGCCGGTTGAGCTATAGGCGCCGAGCCAGTTTTTCTATTTTTAGTAGAAGACAGGGTCTTGCTTTTGCTCAGGCTGATTTCCAACTTGTGAGCTCAAGCAATCCACCTGCCTTGGCCTCCCAGAGTGCTAGGATTATAGGCATGAACCCCTACGCCCAGCCTTTATATTTTTGAAACCCTTGGTAGAATGCTATGACATCAGTGCTCACAGCAACCTCAAACTCTTGGTCTCAAGAGATCCTCTTGGCGTCCACTACAACGGCCAGCTATTTTTAGCAATAGAGTCTTGCTCTTGCTCAGGCTGGTCTTAAACTCCAGAGCCCAGGCAATCCACCCAGCTCAGCCTCCTAGAGTGCTAGGATTACAGGCATGAGCCACTATGCCTGGCCCTAGGAATTATTTTAAACCTTCTTCCTCAGTACCATATTTTATTTTATTTTTATTTATTTATTTATTTAGAGTCTCAAGCTGTCGCTCTTGATCAGTGGTTCTCAACCTTCCTGTGGGTCACAACCCACAGGTTGAGAACCACTGCTCTAGGTAGACCGCCATGGTATCACTAGTTTCTGTTCACTAGGTTCTGATAATTCTACACAAAATATTTCTTTACTCATTCAATGAATATTTCTGTGCCTATGAACCACAATAATAATAGCAACAGTATCAACAGCAAAAACTTGCCAAGTACTTACTATTAGCCAGGTACTAACTAAGTGCTCTGTGTAAATTCAACCATTTAACCCTCACAACAATCCTATGAGATAGGTATCTTCATTCCCAGTTAAGAAATAGTCCAAAGTTCACACTGCTCATAAGTGGCACAGCTCAAACCCAGAACTGACCAGCATCAAAACATAATCTTGATAACCATATTATACAGTGTCTCTCTTCCATGTTCCAGGCAATGCCCAAGGTTCTGGGAAGGCAAGAGCATACTGTCTAGTGGGGAACACAAATGACTCAACAAACAAGCATGGTACACATGGTATACACTAGGAGAGGTAAGTGCAAAGTACTTGCTACAGAACACAAGTCAGAAACACCTAACTTGGCCTTAGGGTAGGTAGTCAGGGATGACTTCCAGGAAGAAGAAAGTCTAGGTTAAGCCCTAACTGATGAATAACCTGGTTGAGGAAGAAAGCAGGGTGTTTGTGCCAACATGAGAGAAGGCCTGAATGGGAGACTGTGGTAACTTCAAAACAGTGAAGTTCAGTATGGCTGGTGTATAAAGTGAGGGTAAAGAGGAGTGTTTTAAGTGCCTAAAGGAATTTGAACTAGGAGATTTTATGAGAGTGATGGAGATCCAGTGAGGGTTTTTGTTTTTTGGGGTTTTTTTGAGACAGAGTCTCACTATGTTGCCCTCGGTGAGTGCTGTGGCATCACAGCTCACAGCAACCTCTAACTCTTGGGCTTAAGTGATTCTCTTGCCTCAGCCTCCCAAGTATAGTGAGGGGTTTTAAAAAAAGAGTGACATTACTGGATTTACTCAAAGTCAAGCTGGCAGTGTTCTGACTCTCATCACTTTTTTTTTTTTTT